ACGTGCGGCAAAGTGATCCCTTTATCGTTCAGGCCACTTTTTACCACTTTTCTTGTGCGGGTATTTTTGCAAGCCAGCTAGAAAAGATGACGATTAAGGGATTCGAACTCACAGTCACGTAACAATGCGAGTTACGAGAAGTAAAACAAAAACCTGGGCGGCGATTAGAGGAAATATAACGAATAAAAGATGGATACTAACTGGAGATATGCAGCCCAATGCTGGGAAAGCCTGGAATAGCTTCCCTGACAAGGAGAAGAAGGGGGAGGGAGGGGGGGAAGTATGTACATAAAATTGCAGTACTAACATTGAATCTCCACTTATTTGTCCGGGGGTTTTTTTTAATGTACTTGGCAGTGTGTCGTTTACAGGAATTAATTTTTGCAGATATGCGACGTGACGTGCAAGAAATAGTGAAAATGACACCGCAGGAGAAGCAAGTGATGATGTTCAGCGCTACTTTGCCGAAGGATTTGCGAGTGGTGTGCAAGAAGTTCATGCAAGATGTAAGATTTTCTGGTGCACAAGCAACAGCTCCTCTCACATTTGTACTGGAACGCCAGCTGCTGATGGCTGCTAAAACTGCTGCTGCTCAAAAACGATTTTTGATCGAAAAGTTGTACTTCTGGCAGTCTAATTGCTGTGGCGCTGCTGCTGCTGCTGCTTCCGCTGCGAAGGCTTTCTTCGTCTGGTGTGTCGCCCATAAAGCGTTAAATGCTATGTTGCCTGTGTGAACGCATCTCGACCGGTTGAAGGAGTGGATGCTTTGGAAGGTAAGAAAAACTTCTCTTTTTACTGTTGATTTTATTACTTAAACAATTTTTTCAAGTTTTTTTTTTGCGAAATATTCATTTTCCTCCAAAAAAAAGCACTATTTCTTGAATGCTTACTCCGTTTCAGGACTCCTTCCGAGATTCACTCCTCCGAAGCGATCTGGTTTCAATGCTCCATGGCGTACTTTTGTGCCAGCTCAGTCTTTGGCGCAGCACTAACTTCGTGGTGTGATACACATCCTCCCACGAACACTTTGGAAAGCCTTACGGTCTTTCACGAAGCAACAGTCTCCCGCTTTGGCGAATTTTTTGTTTATTACATGCCGATCTCAAGTTTCCTTTTAAAATTTAGGTATCATGATGAAAGCAGCAGTTACTGAGAAGCATTCATTCCTCCAGCGCTTTGCATGCATTTTATTTGCAAAAAATGGTTGTGTGTGTGTGACACAGTGTAGAAAAGATGAAAACAAATGAGGGAACATCGGCAACTGACAGTAAAACAAAGTGAGGGCGAAATTCGAGGGCTAGTATGTCACTCTATGACATACTAGCCCTTGAATTTCGGGGAGTTAATTGTGCAACTATGTGGTATGTCAGTTGTAGATGTCGACTTCAGTGATCCGACAAATGGAAAGTTGCTGGTCCGCAAAAAAGACCGTACCGGAAGAGTTAAATTGGAAGTCTTTTAGCCACCCATGAGTAGAGAACAACCCCTTAAAATTAAAGCCTTCAGCTTTTCCCGTTTCCTAGTTAATTGTTTTCCCATCAAAACTTTCACGTGTCTTCCTAGCTATATTAAACAGGCACCATGTCATACTTTGGAATGATTTAGGACGAACGTATAAGTTCTAAATCTCAATTTATTCTGGGTTTTTTTCTAAATACATAATAGTAATGAGTTGCTGACAGAGACTTTTTTTTGAATTTTTTTTGGAATTAGAAACATGGGCCCTCTTTGATAGATATTTAAGATCGAGATAATTTGTGCATCAAAAAAAAAAAGCTTATTTTTAGTTTTATAAGGTTTGGGAATACGAAAAATTATGAGACTTGAGCTTTGTTCAAGCTGCTTTCATACAGTCTGCTCTCACTATTAAAAATGCTATTTTTAGACAGTGAGAAAGCTAGTCCTACAAATGATAACAACACCAAAACGCACTGTACTTGAAAGAAGTTTATTTTGGGGGGCGATGCTTATGCATTTTGTGTTTTTGCGCATGCATGGCAGCATTTTGCTTCAGCCAATGGAAGTTTATGTGGATGACGAAGCGAAACTGACGTTGCATGGTCTTCAGCAACATTACGTGAAAATGAAAGAGACTGAAAAGAACAGGAAACTACTTGAACTGCTCGATCAGCTCGAATTCAACCAAGTGAGTTTCTCTTTCCTGCATTTGTTTGGCCCCCTTAGCTTCCCCTGTTGATTTTACTATGTCAGAAACTTACCTGTACACCAAAAGAGAACTTTTGCAAGGGTACCTTACGACGGGATTATCTCATATCTTTGTTTGTGGGTCTCTATGTGTTTGTTGCGATGATTCAACTCGTAGATAACTGGTGCTAGAGAAATGAAGTTTTGGAGCAGGATTTTTAGTTTGTACGGGTTTAGGCACGTAAAATTAATTTGTATACGTTACTGCACCTGTAGGAGAGTGTATGAATCAAATTTTGCCATTTGGCATCGTGCCAACGGCATTCCTGCGTGTACCCTGTCTCACATTTTCGTGTGCGATTGCTTTAGTGTAGGCCCTCCATTCGTTGTAGTATCTTAGTGTTGATTTTGCAACTCCTGTTAAAGATATAATGCTTTTGGAGACCTGGAGAATACATAAAAAAACACATGCAAAATGTACAAGTGTTTTTTGCATTCGGTAAAAATTTTTTGACGGCATAGGAAGAGACTCATATACATTTTTGTGGTAACAGCGTTTCGCAAAAATGAGTGGGCTTCCCCCGCTGCTTCGCTGCGCACCGCTTTTTATTTTCCCTTCTCCCGGCTCTTTTCCGCCTACTCCAAAGCAAGCATTAGT